TCCCCCCACCCCCTCCCCTTCCTCCCGCCTCATTAGGCGCGGCCGCGGCGCGGGGCCCATTAGCGGATCAATTAGCCGAGGTCGCCCGCGGCGCAGTCGTTAAGCGCGGGAGGCCGCGCCGGGGAGGGGACTCGGAGCCCGCGCCTGCGCCCGCCCCGGATCGCAGCCCCCCGCCCAGGACCCTCTCGTCACCCCGCCCCACGGCGGGCCCCCGGACCCTCCAGGGGGGACCCGGAGACCCCCGGGTCACAGACCCGTCAGTGGCTGGGCAGGCAGGACCCCTCCTAATCCGGGGAAGACTCCAGGTGGGGGTGTCGGGCTTGGGACCCCCAAGTCGCCCTTCCTCTGCCAGCATCAGTAATAACAATAACAGCCGGCAGCTCGTGAGCCCTTGCAGGATTCCTAATTCTCGGAATAATTTCCCAGAAACTGAGATCAGAAAAGCGGCTGCCCCAGATCACTCCTTAGGGTCCAAGGGGTGTAAACCAGGCCTGCCCTCAGTAAATGTGTTAACATTTATGGAGTTCTCTGTGCAAAATTTTAAAGGCTGCGACCCATGCCTCGTGTTCCCTCTTCTCTGCCTGATTGCCCTCTATTAACACACCCGCTGACACATTGTATATTTTAATGTTTATCTGTCTCCCCCGCCTGGAGGGCAGGGATTTACCCCTATTTGGTTCTCAGTAACTGAATGAATGTGCTGGCCTCGGCTCTATGCACTTTCCAAGATTAAACATGATCTTCCTAACAAGGGTTGGTCCTGTGATTATACCCATTTTGCAGATAAGAAAACCAAGACCCACAGTGAGACCCAAGACCAAGACCTGCTTGCCTGGATCACCTAGCTGTGAGAGGAAGAGGCGGGATTTAAGCCCACTCCAGAGCCCCCAGGCCTGCAACCATCATGGTACACATCATGGTACACGTCAATACACAGCGGCCGTTTTCTTTGAACTCAGGGAATTTGTGCAGGATAGTGGGGGAGGTCCTGGAACCCTGCTTCGGGGGAGAGTCGGGGAAGGCCTTCAGAAAAGTGACTTCTATGGAGTCTCAGAGGATTAGAATGCTGGGGAGGGGGAAAGAACACTGTTCCAGGCAGAGGGAACAGCACATGCAAAGGCCTAGAGGCAGGGGTCAGCAAGACGTTTAAATCTGTCTGCAGCTTGCTGAGTAGCAATGAGGGGGTAAACTGTGCCCAGCACGACGCCTGGTCTCACGGGCTCAGGTGAAGAACTTGCAAAGGCCATGGGAGCCAAATATAATTTTTTTTTGATCATTAGGTGGTACCAGGATTTGAACCCTTGGCATTATCAGCATCATGCTTTAACCAAGTGAACAAACCAGCCAGCCCCTAAACCATTTTTAATAACTTTTTTATTGTGAGATATAACAGAAGAGTGTGCAAATTATAAGTGAACAATTCGATGAATTATCACAAAGTGAACACTCGTGTAATTGGCCCCCAAGTCAAGAAATAAAACATGACAAGTCCATTAACAACCCCTTTTCCCTTCCTCTGCAAGGGTAACCCCATGAAAGACACGATGGGTCACTTGGGGCTGTTTCTGTTCTCTATCAATGGGGGCACATGGGAGCTACTTTTTGTACCTGGCTGCATTGGTCCCAATATTACGTGTGTGAGCGGCTTCGTGTTGCTGAGCATAGCGGTAGTGAGTTCTTTTCCATGGCTGTGATGGCCACGCCCGTAGTTTCCAGTTTGGGACAACTACGACTGACTGCAGTGGCTCTGCACGCTCTCCAGGTCTTTTTGGTGGATTCATGTTGCTTTTCTGTTGAGGGACGGATCCGGGTAAGAAATGAATTGCTGGATTATGGGTTGCCAAATGGCTTTCGGAAATAGATGTAACAATTTACACTTGCCACGTGGCATGCATAGCCAAGTTCGGGCTTTGACAGGGATAAATGTTAAGCAGGCGGTGACCCCATCACACTGGCATTTTTGAAGGTGCTTTGCTGCAGTGGGGAAGGGGTGAGATTCTGCAGGTTACTGTGATCACCCAGCCCCACCCCCTTGTTCCTTCCTAGGGACATGAGACATTTCCCCTGTGGTCCCTTATCTATCACCACCTTTCCTGGCTCCTTGAGGCTGGGACTCCTATGCTATACAGCAGTTGAAAAGACCTTGCAAAACAGGATTGGCTGTCCCCCATTGGCAGCCCAAGGTCCTCTTGGTCCAAATCCCAGAGCAGCAAAGAACCAAGGCCAAGATGGGTGCATTGGGGGGGAAGTCCCCTTCCCTTCTGGTCTCCCCAGGGGTGGCCCAGCTTGGATGAAACAGTGGGGGGCCTTTAGGCTGCTCCTTGGAGGATTCAGGCTCAGCTGGGGGGCATGTGTTGTCTGATCTATAAAAAACGGTATAAAGACTTTGCAGTCTCACTGTCCTTTAAGTGAAAAGCATGTCATTTAAGAGCCTTCTGGCTTGGGGTGCAGAAACCAGCTCCGCTACTTACTAGCTCAGTGACCCATTAACCTTTCTCAGCCCCTCTGCCCACCTGTCAAAACAGCTGGTTAAACCTTGAGCACTTGGGCCATGCTGTGTGACCTAGTCTCCAGCTCACCCTCTCTGGGCTAGGGAGGCTGTCCCCCATTGGCAGCCCAAGGTCCTCTTGGTCCAAATCCCAGAGCAGCAAAGAACCAGGGCCAAGATGGGTGCATTGGGGGGAAAGTCCCCTTCCCTTCTGGTCTCCCCAGGGGTGGCCTAGCTTGGCTGAAACAGTGGGGGGCCTTTAGGCTGCTCCTTGGAGGATTCAGGCTCAGCTGGGGGGCATGTGTTATCTGATCTATAAAAAACGGTATAAAGACTTTGCAGTCTCACTGTCCTTTAAGTGAAAAGCATGTCATTTAAGAGCCTTCTGGCTTGGGGTGCAGAAACCAGCCCCGCTACTTACTAGCTCAGTGACCCGTTAACCTTTCTCAGCCCCTCTGGCCACCTGTCAAAACAGCTGGTTAAACCTTGAGCACTTGGGCCATGGTGTGTGACTTAGTCTCCAGCTCACCCTCTCTGGGCTAGGGGTCAAAATGAGGTGGACTACACAAAAAAGCCTGACTCACCTAGGACCCTCCACGTGCCGTCCTGTAACAGAGGGTGACTCAGATGGGAAGCCCCCTCCTCCCCAGGGAAAGGGGCCTCCTTGGGCAGCCCATAACACAGAGGCAGGAACACAGCAACCAACCTTCTCACGTCTTTATTTGAAAGGCACAGCTAAGCCCACCCTCGATACAGCATTTTCCACTTCTCTCCGTAGAGACCAAACGACTGAACACACAAAAGCTGACTATATACAGACACAGGTGTGGGTGTTGCTTTTTTTCCAAACATTTTTTGTCTTTAATATCCCCTTTCTTAAAAGACAAGCTAGTATACTGGAAAAAAAGAAAAAAGAAAAACCAAGACAACTTTAGTACCCTCATCTTTATTTGGGAAGGGGAGAAGGGAAAGCCTGGGTCACCCGCCCCCCTTCTCTGTTTGTTCCAGCTAACCTAGCTTCCCTTTGCCTCCTCTTTCATGGGCGAGGGGGGAGGACCAGGTGGGCACGGGGGTGTCAGGGA